AAATACAAATCAAATATAAAGAAGCTATTATTTAAATGACTGTGAATAATATAAGCTATAGATAAAATATAATGACTTTACACAAGCCAGTGCATCGTTTTGAATATGCAAAAATAGCGAATTAATTTACAATCTATAATGTACAATCAAACATTCTAAACTTAAGTGATAACTTGTAGAAAGAAATTCGAGACGATCGCATTATGACATTTGTACCAAAACAAGATTGTTCTGTAGACAGTTACTATACAATTAATCGGATTTTATTATTATGTATCGGCTTATGGCCATATCAAAAGGCTAATTGGAGATATATTATAATAACATTTTTTAATATAACATTCATATCATTCATAGTATTTCAGGTATAATAATTTATTTTATATTTTATACCTCCAATTAATTTTCATTATTTAATCTAAAGAAATGTAAAGAATTTTAAAAAATGTAATATAAAATTAATATGATGTATACTAACAAACATTATGCATCATTATTTTTAAAAGAAGATATTTTTTATTAAAAATATTACATTATAACAAATGTGGTAATGTAATAAATTTTATGATATTTAAGTAAAACTTATTGTACATGTATTAATATAGTTACATATTTTGGATTTTTTCACTTTCTCTATCTCTTTCTTTTCTTCAACGTAAATATTCTCCATTCTGACTAAAAAAATTATTGTAACTTTTTAACGTAAAAATAGAAATGATTTCAAAGGAAAACATTACTTTTAGCTAATGGCTTTCATCACAACACAGTACAGTGTAAATATTCTTCTACATATTCTTTCATCTTGCATTTCATGGATAGCCTACACGTTAAAATACAATCTTCTCTGCTTAAACTCGAGAGTGGTAAAAATGTTTGATATTAAACTTAGATACTTATATGGGTACTTATAGAGATTATAGCAAAAGTAAATAATTATCATTGATTCCATTAAGGATATTTTTCCAAAAACATAATGAATAAATATTATAAATCCATGAATATAGATACGACGCCTTATGGAACGACTCTATCATGATTGGACTG